GGGAAACTTCCTCCTTCAATCTGCTATATTTCACAGAGCTCTAGTCACACATCCAAGCAAAAATGGCACTCTGCCCTCCTCCTCCTAAAATGATCACAAACATATACACACACACAGAGAATATGGTTTATAAGACATATTTTTGCCATGGAATCAATAAAAGTAATAAAATAAATACACCCATAGCTTTTCCCAGACTTAGGCAAGCTTTAAGTATTTTATAGCCACAATTCCAAACCCAGGAATTTTGTTAAATTTCATAGGGTGGATTGAATTAACATACTATATAATTATACTCTGTTTATAGCTATAACATGATGGACTACATATTTCAATCTAACTAAGAGAGAAAAGTCACCATAAAAGAAAGAATAATACATATCTGGCCAATTCAGGAAAGAGCTTTTTTTTCCCCCTGACATGTTTAAATAGGATTTTTAAAACAGAATTTTGTTCCCAAATAAAACTATTCTTCTATGTATTTTTTCTTTGTGTCTTTAAGTTTTTACATAGATTCAAGTTCAGGTTTGGAATTTTCAGGTAGATGAAAAATAAACCAAAACACAAGAATTTCTTTATATTTTAGCAGCTGTCCTTCTTCCTCCCCTCTTCCTTTTGGAACATCCCATTTCTGCTTGCCCATCCAATCAGCACTCCTGGTGGCCAAGTTAATATTTGCTATTGGCTATGTATGATTGGGTTGCGTCCCATTTGTTGCTGAGCCAAAACTCCATGGATGTACCAAAGGGGCGACCCAGTGCTTCTCTTCTTTTCTAGCTTTGAAGCATGAGGACTATTTGTAGCTGTGTCTGGGATAGTAAGATGGGGGAGAAGGGTAAAAGTCTTATCTCCCCTGGTCTCACAAAGATGTGAGCATATGTCTTACCAAGGCAAGCTTGTGGCTGGGATAGAGCCACCTCTTTTCTTCTTGTATTTCCTCCCTCAAATAGGTGACTGAGCAGCCATGTTGAGATAGATGAATCCAGGTGACCTTGTGAGTTTCAAAAGGTTATGAGGTCTTAGAAGACCAGTGAGGCAGCAGCTGCCATGTCCATCAGAGCACTCATTTGTAGTTACTGTGGCGCAGCAACAGAAGCAAGAATTGGCTGGTGCCAGGGAAAGAGGCAGCATCAGAGAGAGAGAAGTGCCACTACAATAGATCGTGATTAGATCACACTTAATTTTGGATCAGACTGTGCTCAGTAGAGGTGAAATGTAAAATGACTAATTAATAACATTGCAAAAAACAGTTTATGTCTCAATGAAGCTTGAATAGAAGCCTATCAACTGATTATACTACTAGTCATAAGTAACTGAATTTTGTTCTAATCATTCTGAAATAAGTGCTAATTCCTTTATGCTTAGTATTACCTATTATGAGTAGGAATAAACATGATCCATATCCAATTCATGTTTGTACATTGTGAGCCTTTTTTAAAAAAAAGACTGATTCCTCTTTTTGTGAAACTCTTGACTAGACTATCTAGGCTAAAGCCGAAAATAAAATTATCCCAGGACTGGGGGTGATAAGCCAATCAATGTAAGACCTATAAGTAAGTCTACTTCCTCTATTGAGAAGCCAAACTTCTCTAGGGATGAATCTATTACAAAATCATAGCATCTTAGATCTAGAACTAAGAAGAACTTCAGAATATATCTAATCCAATCTCCTTATTTTACCAATGAGGAAACCAAAGCTCAGAAATGTTAAATGATTTGTCTGGGGCCACACAGATAACAAATACTGTAAAAGGGATTTGAATCCAATTCCTCTGACTCCAGAATCTACATCCTTTCTATGAGCCCTGTTTATGTTAAAAGATTTCCTATCCGACTAATCTACAAGCATTTATTAAGCTCTTACTATATCCATAGTACAATGCTAGTTTGAGGATTACAAAGACAAAATGAAAAATAGTTTGTGACTTTACTGAGAGAATACAATATGTCAACAGAAAAGAAAGTGTTTTTGCTGTTGTTCAGGTATGTCCCATTCTTCATGACCACATTTGGGGTTTTCTTGGCAAAGATACTGAAATGGTTTATCATTTCCTTCTGCAGCTCGTTTCATAGATGAGAAACAACGCAAACAGGGTTATGTGACTTGCCTAGGGTTACATACCTAATTTGGACTCAGGAAGATGCGTCTTCCTGACTTCAGGTCTGACACTCTATCCACTGTGGCACCTAGATGCCCTAAGTAAGTATATACATAACAATTGAAGTCAGAAGATAGCACTAACAACTTAGTGCTTTCTGAATCATGATATAAAATATAGGAGTGCTTGGCTCTTTGTTAGGGATGCCATGAGGGGTCCCAGAAATGCTCGCTTCACTCTTGCCTCCATGAACTCTTTAAATTTCACCTCCAGACCAGAAGCCTTGCTTCTTCTCTGCCCCCCACCCAGTTCAATTCCCCTTTATATGTTGTCATTCTCTTATTAGAACATAAATGCATTGAGGGCAGGAGCTGTCTTATTTGCTCATCTGCGTATCTATCCCTCTGTTTATTAATGTATTTGTCTGGTGTCTTGCAAATAAAATCAAAAAGACTTTAAAGTGAAAAAGACAGGGAAGGGAGAAAACTGCCTCTGTATAGCAACCAATCTAGCTATCATAGACAATAGCTAAAATGAAGGAGAAATAACTACTGCTGTAGGCAGAAATTCACAGGAGACAAAAATACAAGAAAGGAGTCAGTAAGTAAAACCCCTGCCCTCAGAGATCTAGATCCAAATGTCAAAATTGGGCAGCTTAGATAAACTGGCTTCTCACAGCTATTATGGAGACTTGGTGGATTGAAACCCATGACAAGAATTTGAGTGTGGAGGGTTTTAGCTTATTCAAAAGAAACATGATAAGTAAAAGGGTAGAGAGAATAGCACTGTATATTTATAGAAGCTATATTCATGCGAAGAAATTCAGGAACCAAAATGGGAAAGCATTTGGGAGATCACTGAGGAAAGGAAAAACAGAAGTGTGATGTCTTTGACAGACCACCTGGACAGAAGACCACAATACTGTATTATGATGAAGGACCTTTGATTATCCAGACATCTCCTGAGTTTCCTCTTTCTGCTAAAAACAGAGCAGCTAATGCCTTCTTGATTTGGCTTAAGGGTCCTCCATCCTCCAAAAGGTGGAGAAACTCACACGGCAAAATTCTATTCCGGATTTCACTCTCACCAACAGGAAGGAACTGACTGCTGACTGGTATGGATATGAAAGGAACTTTCAATCTGTTGTGATATGTTGGGTTTTTTTTTTTGGCTGAAGTATTTAAAGAAAATCTAGCTTCCTATAAGGCAACTAGGTGGCACAATGGATAGAGTGCCAGACCTGGAGTCAGGACGACTCACATTCCTGAGTTCATATCTGACCTCAGACACTTACTAGCTGTGTAACACTGGGCAAGTCACTTAACCTTGTTTGTCTCAGTTTCTTCACCTATAAAATTAGTTTGAGAAGGAAATGGCAAACCACTCCAGTATCTTTGTCAAGAAAATCCCCCCCAAAAAATCCCAAATAGGGTCACAAAGATTCAGATACAACTGAAATGAAATGAAAAACAACAATTAAAAAAACTTCTATAGATATGTAGCTAGAAAAGAGAGCAATATTTTAACAGGCAAATAATATATTAATATTATTATAAAAAACAACATTGACTTCATGCACCCCCTGAAGGGGTTTCAGGGACAACCAGGAGTCTATGGACAACACTTTCAATTTCTTTTTCTTCTCTTATTGCTAGAGCTAATGTTTCCAGTACCATATTGAACAACAGTGGTGATAATGGACATCTTTGTTTCACCCCCAATCTTATTGGAAATGCTTCTAGCTTATCCATGGACAACATTTTGAGTACCAGTGGGTTAACATAGACCTAGATGCTGAGAAAGTAGAATTTAAAAGGGTACAGAGGAAAGAGTTTAGTCACATGAACTAAAATTCTACAGAAGTCAGCCCAGGTGGATTAAGAATTCTCAAGAATGAAATTCTTTAAGACACAAAGAGAAACAATTCTGATGATGTGGAAAAGCAAGAGTTACTTGAAGAGACTTAGGTTGATGTGCACAGTACTCATCAACCACATTAGATTTTTAAAAGGTATATAGTGAAGATGGAAGCAAGATCAGGTAATAAAACTCAATCACAAAAAACATGACACTGGGTGGAGAATAATGTCAGGAAGGCTAAAATTCATAATGAGTTAAAGCTGGTAAAGGCAACTAAGGATCACAAAACCATTTGTGGGGGTTTTTAAAGCTATCTTGGGGAAAGAGGAGTACCAAAGAAGGGATAGGCTAGATAGGAAAATGCTCACTTATAACTGAAAGAAGACAGACTCAGAGCTACTTGGTCCTGTACTTGGCAGTGTACTGTTTTTATCAGGGACTTGGAAAAAGGCTTACATGGTAATCTCATCCAATTTGCAAATGACACAAAGCTCAGAAGGATAATCAACACAGTGGATGAAAGAGCCAAGATGCAAAATCAACTTGACAGTCTAGAGCATTGAGCTGAATCTAACATGACACTGAATAGGAAAAAATGCAGAGTCTTACACATGGGTAGGAAAAAAAATCAACAGAAATTGGTGGAGAGATGGATAGACAGCAGTTATTCTGAAAAGGATCTAGGAGTTTTAGTAGACCTTGAAATCAGGAAGACTTGTCTTCATGAGTTCAAATCTGACCTCCAATACTTATTAGCTGTGTGACTGCAGACAAGTCACTCAATCTTGCTTGCTCAATTCCTCATCTGTAAAGTGAGCTAGAGAAGGAAATGGAAAACCACTCCAGTATCTCTGCCAAGAAAAATCCCAAAAATGGGGTCACAAAGAGTCAGACACAACTGAAAAATGACTCAACAACAACAACAACAGCAAGTTCAGGATGAGTCGTCATTGTGATGTGGCAGCCAAAAAGCTGATGAGTTCTTAGGCTATATTAGGAGAAGCATCACTTAAAGGAATAGGAAGATGATAATGCCACTACCTTCTGCCCTTGTCAGACCTCATCTGGAGTATTATCTTTAGTTCAGGGAACCAACATTTCAGGACATTGAGAAGCTGAAGAGTGTCCAGTGGTAGGCAACCAGGACGGTGAAGAGATTTGAGTCTATTTCATAGGAGCACCATATGAAGGAAGAGGGCACATTTAACCTGAAGAAGATTCAGGGAGAACATGGCAGTCGTCTTCAAGTGTTTGAAGAGCCGATGTGGAGGAGGGATTATACTTGTTCTGTTCAGTCCCTGATGGGTGAATTCAGAGAAATGGGTAGAAATTGAAAGGAGGCCAGTTTAGGCTTGATATCAGGAAAAACTGCCCAACAATAGAAATATTTAAAAATAGAATGAATGGCTTGCCTCAAGAGGTGGTGAGTTCTCCCTTTTTGGAGGTCTTCAGGCAGAGGCTGGACAGTCAATTGTTGGGTTTGTTATAGTGGGGATTACTTCAAGTAAAGGCTGGACTAGATGGCTGTAGATATCTCTTCCAACTTTCAAATTCTGTGATTTTCTTTTTCCTTCTGTTTTCTCTGCCAAGGAGAACGACTTTTGGACTGGAAAAGACAAAACAAAAATACCCAATAGGTATTTGACACCATGATAAGTAAGAAACTAAGAAGGGAGCACTTAGTTGCCCTTGGATAATTTAAGTAACCTGGCTTGGTCAGTTAGTCATCTAGTATTTATTCAGTGCCTACTGTGACCTAGGCACTGTGCTAGAAGGAGGGCCAGATGACTATATCTTAGAGTGCTAAAAAACTGGAAGATGTGAATACTGACTGTCAGTGATTCTTGAAACAACATGGAGAACAAAGGAAGTATTACATTACTGCAGAAGGACAAATGTCCTGATTTCCAAAGAAGGGAAAAGAATGGAATCTGCAAACTTCAGTGAGCTTGTCTTTAATTCCTTGTAAAATTTGAGAATGTATATTTAAGAGATGGTTAATGAACATATAGGGAAGGAAGTGGCAATCACAAAGATTCAGAATAAGAGCAATTCATGTCAGATTAACCTAATTTCCTTTTTTGGTAGGGTTATTAAACTGGTAGGTTAGGAGAATTCTGTAAATACAGTATGGCTCATCTAGATTTTAGAAAAACACTCAATAAGCTATCTCATTCTATTCTTGTGGGGAAAATGGAGAGAAATGGGTTAGATGATAGATGTGTTTGGAGCTGGTTGAATGGCAGGCCTCAAAGACTACTCATTTATAGCTAATGTAACATGAACTGATGCAAATTGAAATGAGCAGAACCAGAACATTGTGCACAATAATACCAATATTGTACAATGAAGAATTGTGAATGACTTAGATATTCTCAGCAATACAATGATCCAAGACAATCCCAAAGGACTCATGATGAAGCATGCTATCTACCTCCAGGGAAAGAAATGATCCTGTCCAAACACAGACTAAAGCATGCTCTCTTTCTTCCTCTTCCTTCCTTTTTTTCTTTCTTCCCTCCCTCCTCTTCCTTCCTTCCTTCCTTCCTTCCTTCCTTCCTTCCTTCCTTCCTTCCTTCCTTCCTTCCTTCCTTCTTTCCTTTCTCTCTCTCTCTCTCTCTCTCTCTCTCTTTCTCTTCCTTTATTTTTTTATTTTAGTCTTCTTGTATAAACTGACTAATATGGAAACGTTTTACATGATCGCACATGTATAACCTGTATCAGATTGCTTACCTTCTCAAGGAGGGAGGAGGGAACGGAAGCAAGGAAGAGACGGAATTTGGAACTCAAAACTTTTTTTAAAAAAAGGTTAAAAATTGTTTTAACATATAATGGGGGGAAAATAAAATATTATAATTTTTAAAAACAGTTAATGTAAAGTTGGAAGGTGGTCTCCAGGGAAATGTCCCAGTGATTTTTACTTGATGCTATACAGTCTAACCCTTTCATCAATCACTTAGACAAAGACATATATAGCCTCCTTATCAAATTTGCAGGGCATAGAAAGCTGAGCATGACAGGTGATAGTATTAGGATCTAAAAAGATTTGGACACACTAGAAAATTGGGTCACATCTAATGAGATGAAATTTAACATGGATAAATATGAAATCTTATATTGGGATAAAAACACCACTTTACAAGATGGGGAAACCATGGCTAGATAGCAGTTTGTCAGAAAAAAGATTGAGGTGGTGGTAGTAGGGATTTTGATGATCAGTAAGTACAATATGACGTGTTAGGCAAAAAAGCTAACTCTCCATTGGGTTGCAATAAGAGAGGCATCCCTTCAAGGAATAAGGTGGTGATAGACTCATTGTACTTTGCCCTGTTCATACCATATCTTGAGTACTGTATTTAGTTCTTGGCAGCACAGTTTAGGAAGGACATTGTTAATCTGGAAATGGTGGGTCACCAGAATGATAAAAGGCTTTGAGTTTGCATCATACAAGGATCCATTCGTTTAATTAAATCCAACAAGCTTTCATTAAATGCCTACTGTATCATAAACACTTTATTAGGTACTAAGGCTACAAAGACAAAAACAAATTAGTTTTTGCCCTCAAGGAGGTTATATTCTCTTGCAGGTGAAACAATTTATATATATGTGTGTGTGTGTATATGCATATACACACACATATACACATATGTGTATGCATATATGTTATATACATATATAATGTGTACATACACACACAGACACACATATATGAATAGAGGTAGGGATAGGGACTATACCTACATAAATCCAAAAGCACACACAAAACAAAGTAATTCTAGGGAGCAGGTGGTGGAGCATAAACACAAGGAAAATCAGAGGCCTCTTGTAGAGGCCTTGGCACTTGAGCTGCATCATGCATCCATTTGGAGCCCATTCAAGAGATGATTTTCCAAACCCATTTTCTGTCAGTTTGATCTCCAGTTTTCCCACAAATTTTTGTTGAACAGAGTCTTTCTCCCAGTAGCTGGAGTTTACCTACCACTGTTCTACTATGTTCATATGCTTTGGGATATTCTGCTTCTAATCTTTACCACTGACTGCATCTGTCATCCACGGAAAACCTCTTCAGTAACATCAATTTATTTTTCATTCTTATAAGCTCTTTCCAACATACTTTATTAATAAGAAATTAGAAATAGGGATCAAGAAAGTCCTTGTGCCCTCTTTTACTTTAAAACAATTGTAGGTCATTTCCCATTTTTTCTATCCAGTTGTGGAGAGTCTGTATTATATCTTATATAAAGAGAAAGGTCCAATCAATCACTTAAAACAATAAAAGCATTTACAAGGCACCTACCATGTATGTTCTAAGAACTGTGCTCAAATGCTGAAAATACAGAGACAGAAATGAAACATCTTTTGCTCTCAAGGAGCTCACATTTTGCTAGGGGACACAATATCTACATATAAGTACATATAATGGGTTTTTTAAATTAATTTATTTTGATTTATCAACAATCACTTACATATGCTTTTGAGTCGAAAATTTTTCTCCCCTTTCCTCCCCCCTCACCCTCCCCAAGACGGCACGCAATCTGATGTAGGCTTTACAAATACAATGTTTATTGGAGGGAATGACACTATCTTCTAGGGGAATCAGAAAAGACCCCATGGGGGAAACACTACTTGAGCTGAATGTTATAGATTTAGGAGAAAGAGGTGAGGAGGGAATGCATTCCACACATGGAAGGGGAGGAGAGAGGACTCTGTCCTAGGTTCTCACATGCAGAGAACGGTAAATAAGCCAGTTTGGCTGGAATGTAAAATGAATGAACAAAGAATTATTGTATAATAAACCTGAACAGTTGTGGAGACCTTGAAAAGTCAAACAGAAGAGCTTCAATGTTATTGTAATGGCAAGAGTGAGCCATCAGAGTTTCTTGAGTAGAAGACTTTCATGGTCAGATCTGCGCTTGAGGAATATCACTTTGGCAGTTGTGTGGCAGATGGATTGGAGAGGAAAGAGACTGGAGACAAGAAGCCCAATTAGAAGGTTATTAAAATAGGCTTGGTGAGAAGTGATAAGGACCTAAACTAGGGTGGTGGCCATGTGAGTAGAAAGAAGAGGATGGGTGTTAGAGATGTCATGGAGGTAGGATTGCTAAAACTTGACAACTGATTGTATATGAAGAGTGATGAAGAGCAAGGAGTCAGAGAAGATTCTGAAGTTGGGAACCTGGGTTACTGGAAGGATAATGGTGCCTTTGACATACATATGGGAATCAGGAAGATGGGTAGGTTTGGGGGGAAAGATATGTTGAATTTGAGATGCATAGGGGCAGCTAGGTGGCACAGTGACAGAGCACCAGCCCTGAAGTCAGGAGGACCTGAGTTCAAATCCAGCCTCAGACCAAACACTAGACACTTACTAGCTGTGTAACCCTAGGCAAGTCACTTAATCCCAATTGCCTTTAAAAAAAAAAAGATGCAAAGAGGACATCCAGTGGCAGTTGATGATGTGGGATTTTATCTCAATATAGACTAGATCTACATGCACGTGTATCCATATGAGCTAATGGGATTCTTGAGAGTGTATACTCACTAAAAGTGTAAGAGTGTGTGTGTGTGTGTGTGTGTGTGTGTGTGTGTGTGTGTGTATACACTCCTGAGTATGTATATGAGGGCCAAGAACAGAGACTGGGTTGGGATGGGAGAGGGAAAGGTAGTGAAAAGAAACCCTCAGGATTAGTGACCAGGGAGAGGATGATGACCCAACAAAGGAACCTGAGAAGGAAAGTCCAGAAAAGTAGGAGGAGAATCAAGAGGCAGCAGTGTCACAAAAACATAGGAAGGAGAAGTCCATCAGCAGCACGAAATGAAGCAGAATTATGAGGACTAAAAAATGCCACTGGGTTTGGTAATTAAGAGATCTTCAGTTTAAGGGTTGGCTAGAAGAAAGTCATGGGATTTAGAACTAGAAAAGATATCAGAGATTAATATTATTATATTAATAATAATGTAGTAGTTATATAACACTTTTAAGTGTACAAAGCACTTTGCTTAATCTTCACAGCAACTGTGACTTAGGTGCTATTATCACCCCATTTTACAGAAGATGGAATTGAGACTCTGAAAGGTTAAGTGACCTGCCCATGTTTGATAATGGATTTGAACTCAGATTCTCCTGACCCACCCAAGTCCTGGGTTCCTAGCTCTGACTCCAGTGCGCCACCTAGCTGCCCATCATTACATTAAATTATATTAAATCCCGAAGATAGAGAAACTGACTCAGAGGTTGACAGTAGCAGAGCTGGGACTCAAATCTAAATTTAACTTGTTTGTTTGACAAAACAAGCATTAACTGCAGTGGAAACCTAACCTGCATCCCAGCTTGCTGCGTCAGTGTGCATCCCTATAGTTTAGTAAGTGCTTAATAAATGCTTGTTGACTGACCCTGCTTCTACAAGAAGAGCCTATTTCGTTGTTGGTTAGGAAGCTGTATCATCAGACTTGCTATTGTGCAATGCACAACGCCTCACCACTGGGGAGGGCAGAATCTACCTTCATTATTTTCCAGTCTTTCATTGTCCCTCCTTCTCCCTGCCCCTACCAACGCCCACCTCCTGGGGCAAGCCT